AACACAAAAATTTTATTCATTTTAATAACGAATGGCAAAAAGTTTGTATAAATACCAGACTTTTGCTGTCTCCATTGAAATTCTAAAACAACATCCGTGTGTCCAACGAAAGTATAAATTGGAGAACTGAGATTCGCGGTATTCCACAAGAGAAGACTGTTTTCGCCTCGTCGTAATTGCGGCACGACAATCGTGACAAGGCCTTCTCCAAATGGCTAAAACCAAAGACAATTATATAAATTAACAAATAAAAATAGTAACTTAAATAATTTTCTCCAACGCCTGCTTTGACATATGATGTCATTCATTTTCTCTTGATCTTTGACAGAGCACTCGTTCCTTATTATATTGAATATAATTGGACATTAAATTAAAGTTATGCGAAACTCACGAAGAAACCTTTCCTCGCAAGGTGAAAAGCACAATCTACTATTAGATAAAAAAATAGCAGTGTTTCAATACCGTGTATCTTGCTCTCCAAACTGGGGAATTAGTTGTGAGAACACTTTCCGCTCTTCGAGGATTTCCTATATCAAATATTTTCACAGTACAATCCTGACTGGAAGTTGCTAATTGATTTTGCTGAAAAGGACACCAATCCAAACCATGAATCTAGAAATTAGATTTGAAACATTAAAGTTGTATTTTATATTTTTACATAAAAGGAATAAAATATATTTGTAAGAGTTGAAAATAAATGAAACTACATAATTCTAGTACAAACTTTTGTCAAGTGAGCTGCTATATATTGAATAGGGCTATTTCCCTTCCTTTGATCCCATATTTTAACGTCACCATCGTGCGCAGTTGCCAGCATATGAGGAGACAATATATTCCACTGCACTTGAGAAGCTCCGGCTAGAAGTTATCAAATTTATTAGTTAATAAAAATATGTTTATTTCGCTTCTTTTCATTAAAAAAGAAAAATGAAACTTGCCAACTGCCGAGAGAGATTGACACGGTTTCCTCTGATCTCGTATATCCCAAATATGTATAAAGGTATCAATACTACAAGAAGCTAGAATTTCAGGTTCTGAAGGATGCCAATTCAAATCGCTAACTACGCGAGTATGTGCTCGTAAACTGTGCACAGTTTGTAAGTCATATCCTGCGCCTCCAGTAAACGATAATATTTCAACTCGTGTATTACTCTGAAATAATTTCTCTTTTAACATAATTGAAAACAGATTTACAATTAAGAACGCTGTATGTTTGGAGTCTGCTTACTGATATGGCACAAAGATGACAATTTGAAGCAGTAGGATTCCATTCAGCGGAACTGACTTCATATTTGCTTTGCCTATTGAATTTTTTCAGGGTATCCGACACATCGTCAAGTTGTTTAACCGCAAAACATCGTCGACTGGAAACAGATATTTTTATTATTTTTATTCAAAAATCAGCACAATCTTGAATAGAACTTAACCTCACTTTTAAGTTCTCTGAGATAATTAATTAAAAAGATTGTAAAAACAAAAAGAAGAATGAAACTATTTTTTATTAAATATATACGAAGTGGCTATTTCGCCAGTCAGTAAAAATATATGATTACTGATTAAAAATATTTGTAAATTTTTCTCTTTTTATATTTATTTTGAGGAAGAAGGAGTTACCCACCTTGGGTTTTTTTAGAATTAAATAAAAAACAAAAAATATCACAATTATATTTTGATAATAAAAAAAATTTCCAACCCAAGGTGAATGACTCCTTCCTCCTCAAAATAAAAACAGAAAAATTTACAAATATTTTTAATTAGTAATCATTTAGTTTTACTGACGGGCGAAATAAACCATTTTTCTTAAGAAATAGCCACAGCGTTTTCGAATAAAAAAAGTAGTTTATTTGGCCCGTCAGATAACAAATTAGCTGTAATTAATAACAATAGATTATTATTATTATTACTATTTTTACAAACATATTAATTTAATCACCAGGTACTATTTTTTACATGAATTTGACAGGTAATGTAATAAGAAAATTCTTCTTAAAAATTTTAATAAAATTCTTTGAAACGATTGAATTATTTTTAAAAAAACTTAAACGAATTTTTCACAAAAAAAATAAATTATTTTGGGGTCAGAACTCGTGAAATTTTCATAGAAAATAAAAAGTATTTTTTTTAAATCGAAATGTTGAAAAAACATTTCTATTTGGCCTTAAGAATGTGTCCACCAAAAAACAGAAAAAAAAATTATTTTTTATAAAAGTTATTGCAAAATTAATTTTTTTGCAACTTTTTAAACAAAATTTAATTTCTCCTAAATGAATAAATAAATTTTAAAAATTTTCTAATTCTAAACGAAAGTATACCTTTATATTCCCGCTTGGTTCATTTAAATCGGTTCATTCATTTAGGAGAAACTAAATTTTGTTTAAAAAGTTGCAAAAAAATTAATTTTGCAATAACTTTTATAAAAAATAATTTTTTTTCCTGTTATTTGGTGGACACATTCTTAAGGCCAAATAGAAATGTTTTTTCAACATTTCGATTTAAAAAAAATACTTTTTATTTTCTATGAAAATTTCACGAATTCTGAGTCACTTTGGCAAATAATCAAATTCTCTAAAACTCAATTAGTTTAAATATCTACTATTTCAATACAATTTCACGAAAGATTTAAAAAATTTAAATAAAATCCTTCTCAAACATTAAATTATTTTTATAAATATTAAAAATTTCACAGCAATTATAACTTTAAAAAAAATTTTATAAAGTCCTTTGAAAAAATTCATTTAAACAAAATTTTAAGAAATAATTAAATTTAAAAAAATCGCACAAATCCAAGACTTTCTCATTTTTTATGAGAATGTAAAAATTGTATTCTTCGGAAATTTTCATTATATTGTAAAAATAATATTTTAATTTTTATATTTTTAAAAAGTTAAATTTTAGAATAATAATTACAGTTAAAGTGAGAAAAAGTGAAATTATTGAAAAAGGAAATAAGTATTTAAATATTAATTTAACTATGAATAAAAATTAGCCTTTTCAAGAAAAGTAATTGAAATTTTTTTTAGTTACATTCCCGTAAATAATTTTAAAAAATGAAATTAACTTTCCAATTAATTGGAAATTTTGTCAAATTTCATTGAATTATAATTTATATTTTAAAGAATTTTATTGTTTACTTTTAAAAATTATTTTTAAATATAATAATTTATAATATTATGTACTAAATATGTTTATAATTTGCATCTTTATTTTGAGGTTAAAATATACATTAGCTGTTAAATTCATGTAAAAAGTAGTACCTGGTGATTAAATTAATATATTTGTAAAAATAGTAATAATAATAATCTATTGTTATTAATTACAGCTAATTTGTTATCTGACGGGCCAAATAAACTACTTTTTTTATTTGGCCCGTCTTGAAATGTATGGAAGTGGGGTGACGGGCCAAATAATAAAAGTAACTTATTTGGCCCGCTGACGGGCCAAATAGACACTCCGTTCCGTTAAATATAATGTAACATACCCTGCCAGTAAAACATGGTTACCAGTGGCATCAACTGCCATGGTATTAGCCTGGAAAACAAAAGCATAACAATGACACTATGTTTGGATTCTTGCATCAATGTGAGAAGAACAATGTACAAGTAAATTTTACAAAGAATTTAAAAAGTTAGTTTCACCTGCAAATCACGATGTTCTGTGACAACATAATTGCTGCCCCAGCGTTTTGACATTATTTATGTGTTTGGTATACGATTTAAAAACTAGACTGAAAGAGGTTAGGAATGCATTTTTCTCTTTTTCTTTTTTGGAGTATTTTGGATTTGATTTTACAGGTTTTATAGTATATGTGAAATGTGAATGCAAATTACAAACACAACCATTGCGGCGACTGGCGGCGACGACCAACTCAGACCAACTTAGCTTAGCAAGTATGTGCAAATTTCGCGTCTTCGCGACGTACGTTCCAGAATGGTTCCAGAGCTGCCAGGTACCCTCACCAAACGCAACTGCGCTTGCGCTACAAAAATGATCTTATAAGGTAGTCCAAGTTGGGTGGGGGAAATTCAATATGGCTGACATCAGCTGATTTACCGGAGGACAAACAATGCATTGAATTCAATGAGACAAATCAGTTTTTTAACCATAACTTTTTAAATATTCATTTTTGAACCATAGTGTAATGGAAAATTATTCTTTATTTATCGAAATCTATTTTTTAAAACAATAAAACCAAAAAATTTAATTTTATTGTTTTAAAAAATAGATTTCGATAAATAAAGAATAATTTTCCATTACACTATGGTTCAAAAATGAATATTTAAAAAGTTATGGTTAAAAAACTGATTTGTCCCATTGAATTCAATGCATTGTTTGTCCTCCGGTAAATCAGCTGATGTCAGCCATATTGCATTTCCCCCACCCAACTTGGACTACCTTATCAGAGAGTATTAGGGAGAGTGGAAGGTCCAATAAGAGAGCAATGTAAATAATCGTACACGATTTTCAGCGCCCTCAACAGGTTCGTTCCGACACGAATTTCCCCCACCATGAGCATAAGCGGGAAAATTCAAATTTCCGGCTTATATTTAATTACATATTTTTATTAAATTAAATAAATTTTTGTTCTAAAAATTTTTTATAAATAATAAGTGTGATGCAAAATTAATTTAAAAAATATTTTTATTTGTCGTAATTAAATAAATACATACATGAGTATATAAAAAAACATTTTAAATATAACGAAAAATTTGAAATTCATTTCATACAAGATTTATTTTACAATATTTTTAACGTAATCTATCGAAAAATTTATATGTACAATTGAATTTTTCATAATATTATAATGAATTAAAAAATTAATTTTTTATAATAATGAAAAATTAGAATTTAGTTACAATAAGCATTTAACATATTTGTAGTTCATGTTGATGTTATGTTAAATTTTAATTATTATTAAAATATTATTATACAAAAATACATACACATTCAGTAAGTAATTTCAAATAAACAAAAGTTTCAGTAATTTGTAGATTAAAAATTATTTATTAATATAAATTAACGAGACGATTTACAAGAGTTTTAATTTATCTTAATAAATAACTTTTAATCCAGAAATTCCTGAAAAACTTTTGTTTATTTAAAATATTATTGTCATTCATATTTTATTTACTTTATATAATTATATTATGTACTCAATAAAACCAAAAATGACACACATGTACAATATAAAGATATTAACTAATTTTTATCGTTCAAATTGTATTTTTAGAGTACACTCTCCTAAATTATATAGAGTAAACGTTTTAAAAGTCTTACCAGTTATTGTTATATTTCGAACTTTACTACAAGCAAGTTCAACTTGTGACACCATATTTTCTCCATTCAGCGTTGAGGCTGGCGTTTTCGAAATATTTAATTCCTCACTGGTGGAGTCACTTTGATTTCCCTTAGTTTGAGTGTCTATAGTAGTAGCAATACTGACAATTTCTGTCTCGCTGCTGTAATATCAACCTGTAATATCAATTGTTTAAATTTATATTAATGTGATTTTAAAAATATTTATATATTATTATTTATTATAAGGTAAAAAAATACTTACTTCGCCCTGCAGTGCACTTCTTTTCTTTGTGCAAAGTTGGAATTGCATCTGGCTTCAATAAGGGCCTGGGGTGAAATGTTTTAAAACATTTTTTGTCAAAATGCTCCGCACAGATTCGAAACTTTGTAGTTTCTTTAACCCCAGCGAATTTGAGCCATTTTCTTCGACTGCGAAATGCTATAATTTTGTTATTTTGAATTTAAGGATAAAAAATTGTATTTTCATGACAAAAATAATATAATAATAAATATTTGCAACAACTTTTTAATATCAAAATTTAGAATTCTGTGTACTTAATAATATGACAGTACACTGTAAAAAAAATTTCTGTATATTTACAGTTTTGTTTAGAATTTTATAAAAACTTGTAAAATAACTTCTTTAAAAGTAGTGAATTTAAAATCCCTTCTGTAAAATTAATACTTTTAATGTGCCAATTTTACAATTTTCTGTAAATTTACTACTCTGAATGTAGGTAATATTTTTGTCTTTTTATTACCTACATTCAGAGTAGTAAATTTACAGAAAATTGTAAAATTGACACATTAAAAGTATTAATTTTACAGAAGGGATTTTAAATTCACTACTTTTAAAGAAGTTATTTTACAAGTTTCTATAAAATTCTAAACAAAACTGTAAATCTACAGAAAATTTTTTTTACAGTGTACTTCAAAAGTTTATATTTCATCGTGTAAAAAAGTGAGGTTATGTTTACTAAAAATCAAATGTATACGATGTATACTTACGTTGAAATAGATTTTGGTAATCTAAACGATGAAAATCCTTGGCACATTTTCGTATATGTCCCTTTTTTGCAATTTTCTACACTACAATATAACATTTTTGCACAAAATTTAAAAATCACGCTTCTCCAACTGTTTGCAAGCAAGCACAAACAGTTGAGCACAAATACATACAGAACATTCAAAACATTATACATATATATTTTAAAAAGGGAACGACCCACCAGAGTGCGCTACTAGTAGCGTGTTGTTATGTAACGAGCGACTATTATCTCGCTCGAATAATTTCGATATATCAACTATCGAAATAAACGCGCTAGAATTGAATTATTAATTATCAATTAATTTATAATTTTTAAATATTCTTCCCACGGTTTGAGGCAGAAATCTCTGAGACACAAACAGGAAATCTTTTGTATGTTTGTCAATAGAATATTGTCACGGTTTAATAAATTCCAAACTTTTAGTTTTTATATTAACTACGAAGACATTTCTTAGAAATGTCGTAAATCAAGTTAAAGTTGGAAAAAGTAATCTCGAATTTCTTAAAGTCATAAAACCAAACCGTCAAGAGTTATACAAAAAATAAAACATCTCAAGTGCCCTTTTCCATAGGACAATAGAACATGTGTTCAACATGCTTGGGACCGCAGGATTGCAATGGACTAAGTAAAAGAGATGAGTCACAAAAGTCTAGTTGAATAAGGATCTAAAATATTTAATAATAAATAGTACAAATAGAATTATTAATATAATAATAATGATAATAATAATAATTATTATTATTATTATTTCGAATAATCATTTAGTGCGAATGTATTATTTGGATAATCTAAAACTACGTTGACGTTTATGTCATTAAATACATTTCATCTATATGTACATTATTAATGTAATTACTATATTGTGTGAGTGTCGTATGAAATATTCAATTTAAGTAAATAGTACATAACATTTTATAGATGATTAATAATATTATATTATTTGAATGCAGAGTATATTGCATGAGTATAGAGATGATCTCTCTTGAATGTGTGTGTGTGAGTATAGTTTCAATGTAGTGCAGAAAAGTGTTGGTGCAACGATCCTGTATGCTACAGCCAAGGAAATGCGCGTAGAATAACGCATGCGCATTTCCACAAAAATGGACTTTAGCGGAGAACCTCTCCGCGGAATGAATAGTTATAGTTAGTTCTAAGTTACTCTCTGACTTGAAAGGTTGTTTTCTAAACTCCTTAGCCAGTTTGTATTTAACAAATATTTTAATAAACAATAAAGGGGGTTTTACTCACTCAAGAAAAACTAATTTCTCGAGTGGGCTTTCCTCCTTCCGTTAAACGGAATTAAACGTCTTTTAATTTAAATATTCCCGCTTCCTTCTTTAAGGATTTAATCAAGGTAGAATCCGGCGAATCATCGCGAACTATTAGAGTTACGTTATTAAAGGTAACGCGGCTCGTAACAGTTACGAGCGACTACCATCTCGCTCGTTAACTTTCGATATATCGATTCACGAGTTATCGAAGCGCGAAATTATAATATTTCGTTAATAAACTTAATTATTTTTAGTATTTTCTCACGACTTTAGACAAATATTGACGAGACTAAACAAGAAAGTTTGGCTATTGTAAAATATAATACTTCACGGTTTAATAGTTTCCAAATTCTGAATATGTATTTGAAAATCAACATTTCTTAGAATTGCCATAAATCAAGTAGAATAGCGAAAGAAAATGTAATCTCTAGTTTCTTTAGAGTCATAAAACCGAGAAACCCTCGAAAGAATATAAAAAATATCTCAAGTGTCCTTTTCCATAGGACAATGCAACATGTGTTTACCATACTTGTGACCACAGAAATGGCTTCGAAAAGTCACGTACACATAGACTTTCATTATGCGACGAACCTTAATTATCAATTGTATAATGTGAACGTTATGAACAATTAACAGCAATATTATATCGTTGCTAATTGTGCATTATGAATGTATTATTTGAAAACGATATTATTAGTAAACTTTATCTGATTGATTGTTGTAATATTATGGTATTGGATATATATATATATATATATGTATGTGTGTATATATATGTGTATATATATATGTATATATATGTATATGTATATATATGTATATGTATATATATATATATATATATATATATATAATTGTAACGTATTAATATAATTATAATATTATATTATGATATATTATCAAATTGGTTATCGTTATAATTGTTGTTTATATTTAAATATGATGAGTGCAGTATAATAGATTTATTGTTACTAGATATGATGTAAATAATTAATAATTGTGTGATTAGTGTGAATGCAAAAGGGTTATGTTCACTTGTTGTGATACATGTTTTCAATACATAGGGTATGTTTATACGTGTATTAGTGCAGTGCAGTGTTGGTGTTGTGATTCTGAACACTTCATAGACTTTACAAATTATAACAGAGCATGCGCAAAGATTCTGCCATGGACCAAGGGCCAAATGCTCTCTTACGAAATCAGTTCTATTTTGGAGTTCTTTCGTAACGGACTTCAGAGTAGTCCCAAAAATAGCCTTAAGAATAACTTCGACTTGTGTAATGTTTGACTTTAATATATAATAAATGTATTGGGTTTACTCGTGAAATGAGTCGGATTAATAATTAATTGATATTAATATTAATTATTAATTGATCTTTCTTATTTTCGAGGTTTTTCCCTCCGTTTTAACGGAAATTAACTTGTTTTATTTTGAATATTTCCGCCTTCCTTTTCAAAGGATTAAACCAAGATTGAACATCGAATCAAATCGCGGATTTTACGCCTGCGCGTAAATAACGTAAATCCGCACGTAACAAATTGGGGGCTCAACGTCGGGATCTTGGTGCGGAAAAATTTAAATTTTTGCAAATTTTGTGACTTTTATTTGAACTTTTCGTGAATTTGAACTTTTAAACAATAATGGTGAAAATAATTAATTTACGGATTGTAAAATTAACAGTTTGAAAATTAAAATAATTTTATAAAATAAATTATTAAACAAATAAATAAACTATAACTGGAAATCGGATAAAAGTGTGTATACAATGGAAAATATAAAAGAAAAGTTTGGACATGATAGAATTGAACTGGAGAACTAAAACTACATATTTCAAATTTTTATCCTGGACTGAATATTGTTGCTGCATATGGACGTGGATTGAGTGTCAACTTGAATAATAAAAACAAATTTTGAGAATTTTATTCAATATTTAACTGGGAGTATCCTGCTTTCCTGAGTTCTGTACTTCGAATAGATGCTGATACCTGATTTTTCCTGAACCAATGAATTGGATTTTCAATATTTTTTTTGAGCGGACTTCTGCAAGGTCAACCAACTACAAGAAGAATTGTTTCCAAAAGTAAGAAGAATATAGTGGAAAAGTGTGTGCGCGAAAGAATTTCAAATTTTAAAATTATGGTCATTTCGTTGTGAAGTGCGTGAAACGTAGTGTTTTGGAATAATAAAATAAAGGTATGGTTAGCGTATGATTATGAAATTATAGATTATAATTTGTCTCTTCTGAGGTTATGATTTTTACAATATTTAAAGGTATAATTAAGAAATTTTTAGAAAGTTTTAAAATTTCCGTGTGAAATAATTAGTTTTCTTATTTTTGCTATTTAATAAATTATTTAGATGCATTTTTATTTCTGTGATAATTGAGTATTTCATAATTGACATATGTATTTTATAATAATTAATATATTATTGTTTTGTTGAGTCTAAATTATTTATGTGTTGTGTTAGTTAAAAATTTAATATAGTTAGTATATAGTCAAACTAATTAGGCAATAATTATTGTTTTTATTAAATATTTAATTGTCGAATTATTTAAGATATAGAAAATTTAATATTGATATTTTTAAAGTTATAAAATGGTTTATTTTCAATTTTGAATAATTAGAATACTTATAAATTAAGAAATATTTTATATATTTTTATTTAGTCAATTGTTGTATAACACAAAGTACTTTAAAATATTTTAATAATATAAAATGACATTAATTCTCAATTTTTGTAACTACAATATTTTCGAATTAGTTTTTCTAAATATTTTTAATTCTGTGAATTAACATCTTTCTTATTATTTTAAATAATAGATTATTGTTGTATTTAAAATGTTGAATTAATTAGAATTTTTAATATTTTTCTTAAGTTGTCAGAATTAATTGTTTTTACGATTGTATATAATTAATTTAAGGTAAAGCCTAGAAGGGACAAATGGTGTAAATTAATTTTATAAAATGTAAAGGCGAATGAATATGGTTGTGAATTTTCTACAATTTGTAATAAGATAATTCAAAGAATGGAAATTATAACAATGTAAAAATGACACGACAAAGACAGACATATTTTCTAACTGTTTTACAATATTTTAGGTCAGACAATTTTAAAGGCAATGATGCTATTCCTTTTAATTTTACAGTTGTTTTCCCTATTTTGACAGGCGATAATTTTATTTTTCAAATCTTTGTCCGAAATATTCAGCCCTTAATGTCACGGGAATACGTGATAAAACTGACAAAATTGGTTAGTAATTGCAAATTTTCTTCTTATAAAAAGATAAGCACGAAAATAAATTTTAATAATTGCCTGTTTGTGATTATTGCACAAAGGACATCTCTCTTTCTCTTGTTTTAAAAGCGCTTCAAAGATATTATTTTCCACTTAATGGGTGTTAGAAAGGGTGTTTTGAAACCTTGAAAGTCTGTTGTATTACATGTATATGGCAGAAAGGCAATTTATTCATATTAATACCGAAGATTTTGGTATTTCTTCATTTGAAATTTTGGGAATGGAATTTTTGCACGAGAATTCTGCCTCCTTTAAGGTTTCAGAATGAAGAAATTATCCTCGATCTTCCACCCTTGAGACACACGAACGAGGGAAAATATTCCTTACCGCGAGATCTAATAAGTCCTTCCGTTTAAGTAAAGAAAGAAAGTTTAAAGAAAGATTTTTATTCTTTTTAAACGTATTGAAATCAATAAGAAAATTTGAAAATTGTACTTTGAAGAGGGGAGAGTTGTTGACAATTTTGGTATCATTTTGGAAGATTTGAATCTTTATAATTCGGGGTGTCTGACATGTGGGAATTTATTTACAACAGAAAATTCTAGAAATTGACGGAAATTTTAAATATAAAT